CGCCTTTTCAAGAGATAACATACGGTCAAGAGCCAATGGTACTAAAGGAAGAAGTCCAACTACACTGAAGGCATTATCCAAAAACAAAGCTGCACAAATTGATGGAATACAAATTGAAATGGTTCAACAAGCTGATGAAGCTTTGAAACCACTCAATCCTATATACTAAGAAAATTGGAAGGCAGCCACTTAGCCAACTGACTGGAAGAGATCCATATTTTTACCTATTCCAAAGAAAGGTGACTTAAAGCTCAAATTACAGAACAGTATCATTAAGGTCACATATAAGTAAAAGTTTGCTGAAGATCATCCAACAGCAATATATTGAGAGGGAGCTGCCAGAAATTCAGACCAGATTTAGAAGAGAATGTGAAGCAAGGAATATCATTGCTGATATCAGATGGATTTGGGCTGAAAACAGAGAGTGCCAGAAAGCTGGTTAGTTGTGTTTAATTGGCTATGCAAACACTTTTGACTGTGCGAATCTTAACAAACTATGGATAGCTATGAGAAGAATGGGAATTCCAGAACTTGGTACTTGGATCGAGCCTTGTACATGGATTAAGAGGAACTGTAAGAACAGAACAAAGGAATAATACGTGGTTTAAAGTCAGGAAAGGTGTGCCTCTGAGTTGTTTCTTCTCACCATACTTATTCAAACTGTGTGCTGAGCAAATGACCAGACCAGTGGGGTGATATAAAGAAGAATGTGGCATCAGGAGGAAGGCTTACTAACAACCTGTGGTATGCAGTTGACACCACCTTGCTTGCCGAAAGTGAGGAGGACTTGAAGCCCTTGCTGATGAAGATCAAGGATTGCAGCCTGCAGTACGGATTAAAGCTAAATGTAAAGGAAAAAATCTTCACAACTGTACAAGTAGGTAACAGCATGATAAATGGAGGAAAGATGGAAGTTGTCAAGAATATTCATCTTGCTTGAATCCATAATCAGGGCTCATGGAAGTAGCAGTTAAAGAGATCAAACAACTCATTGCACTAGGTAACTCTGCTGCATTAGACCTCTTTAATGTGTTGAAAAACAAGGATGTTACTTTGAGGACTAAGGTGTGTCTGACTCAAGCCATGGTATTTTTGCCTCATATGCATGTAAAAGTTGGGCATTGAATGAGGAAGATCAAAGAAGAATTGATGCTGTTGAATTATGGTGCAGATGAAGAATATTAACCGTACTATGGCTACCAAAAGACCAACAAATCTGTCTTGGAAGAAGTACAGTCAGAACACTCCTCAGAAGCAAGGATGACAAGGCTTCGTCTCACATACTTTAGACATGTTATCAGGAGAGACCTGAAAACAGAGAATGTCAGAGAGATGTTTACTTGCGTTTAATTGGCTATGCAAACACTTTTGACTGTGTGAATCTTAACAAACTATGGATAGCTGTGAGAAGAATGGGAATTCCAGAACATTGTACTTGGATCCAAACTTGTACATGGATTAAGAGGAAAAAGGCATCATTCTTGCTAATGTAGAAGGGCAATGAAAAGAGGTAAACGCTTGACAAGATGAGACAGTGACTGCAACAATGGGTTCAAATAGGAGAACAATTGTGAGGATGGCATAGATCTGAGCAATGTGTCTTTCTGTTGTCCATAGTCCCTATGAATTGGAATAGACTCAGCAGCGCCTAACAACAACAAATGATCTCTAGGAATTTACTGAGGGAAGCAAAAATAAAATAGTTTTATTTAGAAAATAAGGAGTTCTGGTGGCACTGGATGTATATGACCTCACTTGGCTGCTTACCGAAAAGTTCAAGGTTCTAGTTCACCAGCCAAGAAGCAGGAGAAAATACTCTGCTCCTGTAAGGATTTTAGCCTTGGGAACCCTAGGTAGGCAGTTTTCTTCAGTCTTATAAGATTACTGAGTCAGAATTGATTCATGTCCAGAGTTCTGAAAATCTGTCTTAATTTCTAAATAGAAATCATTGATCATAGCCTAAAGTCCAACAATTAAGGAATGATTAGATAAATTATGATGAAACAGTTTATTAGTTTGTTTGCTGTTCAGTCGACTCTGATTCATGGAAACCTTCTGTACAATAGAGTGAAACACTGTGTCGTACTGAACTGTGTGCTTGAATCCATTTTGTGTGAGCACTGTGTGCCATTCAACTGAGGAGGCTCATCTTTCAAGATGATATTGACCAATATTCTGTTCAATCCATAGAGTTCCATAGAGTTCTCATTGGGTAATGATTGGAAATAGATAACAATGTGTCTGCCTTGTCTCCTATTCTTGAAGCTCCGCTGAAACCTGACCACCATTGGTATCTAAAATACCAATGGCCTGGCCTCCAACATGACATCAACAAGCAGACCACCAGAGTACAGAAACATCGTCCACCCCTCATCAAGTAGCTTTCAGTCAACTTAAAAACACAGGCACATTTACTTTCCTTTAGCAGCAAATGTCCTTAGGTTTCAATTTTCCAAACACGAAGCAAGTATTTCAAACTGACTGGGATTCCCTGGTTGCAATTTTTAATTTACTTATAAAATGGAACTTGCTGATTTTTCTCTCTAACCTCAAAGGCTCCCCTAGTTAACTACCATTAATGGCTTGAATTAAGCAGAATTATCTCTAACTTTCTTTCTACCAGCATCCATCTCACTCTGCCTCCGAAGTAGCCCTATCCATCCTTAGTCTCCCTATGCTACCATTATCCTACGTAGGTTGTCTTATAAGACAAAAAAGCTTTAGGTTTTTGCTTCTCTTGGGCTGGGCTAACCTTCTGGAATGTAGCATAATCTGAAGCACATACACTTGCCAGCTATCTAACACTCCTCATTAGCCAGTCAACTCCTTAGTAAGCATTTAGGCCCTTCTACCATCAGATTCCAATTTGTCTTTCTCACCTTTGCTTCTCGTCTTTCCTCTCATGTAATCACTTCTGCTAGTCCAAAGTATTCTTTTATCACTCCTCCAGGCAAGAAAGTTATATTTCAGAAATGATTACATTTTTAAGTTTTTTTTCATTGTAGTCTACTAAATCACATACACACAAAAGAGGAATTTGAGCACCAAATTGGGCTTCTATTGCCTGTCTTATATGACCGAAATGAATATTTGTTGAAAATGGGGAAAATGGTTTTAAAAGGAGCTTACTTAACTTTACTGCTGTGGTAGTAAGTTGCTTCCAGTCTGCACATGGCTGAAATTCCATCTGTACACAATCTAACATTTACAGAGGAGGAGGTGGATAATGTGCACAGTGGATGATTGTTAAACTTTCTGATTTATTTATGCCCTTTATCCTCAAGTTTCTAACTCCCCCTCATCCAGTTCCTTTTTACAATACCATACTTTTCTGCATATGTTCTTGCCAAGACATTATTTAAGCTTCTTTTTTCTTCATAGTCAGCAGCAAAAAGCAGAGAATTGTGGTTTTGTTATTTGAGAAGTATGATTACTGTAGCCTTCAAAATCAACATATAACCAACAATTATATTTTTCATATTCTTAAAATTAAAAATTAAATACCTCTGGTCAATATATCAGTCCTGCAGATACCTTTATTTGTTAATAGTTGTACCAAGGAAAAACAGAAAATGTGTTGGTTATGAATAGTTCAATTATATTTTAATAAATATTATGTTGTCCAGCACACCCCATTTTAATGAAATTAACTTTTTAAATCTACCCTGTCCCAAAGAAGAGATTATATCCTAAAGTATCCAGAAACTAAGCCTTATAATATATGTGAAAAGGTGATGTATGTATCATACAGACCTCTTATGTGTATTTGAAAAACAAAATAGAGTAGTCTTGATTTTGGAATAATCTATTTTAAGTACAGATTATTCTTATCTGTATTGGAACAATTTCTCCAAAATGCTACTCATCAATATAGTATTTTGCCTCTTCAGACCTAAATGGGAATTTAGATCTTTATCACCATGGAAACAAACCAGTCTTTTCTGAATAGCTGATAGATCATACAGCCTGATCATTATAACTTTTACTCTGAGCAGGCTGGGGGTTGAAATGGACTTTACTTCTCTTTCCTCCTTAGAGCCCCAAGTAACCATGCATAAGCCCCCAAGAAACTCTGTGGTGGACTTAAGCATCTTTTTCCAAGGCCAAAATCTCTCCATATCAGCCGCCCCCCCCTGCTATGACTGTAGAGCTACAGCATAGCAACTCTATGACCAAGCTGTTCTCACCATCCTTCCTTTGGGTGATGGTGGCTGAACCTCCATCAGTTGTGCAGAGGGAAAGCCAATTTTCCCTGGGAGAAATAGTAAAACTTTGTTCACTTATACATCGCTCCACTATTGTATTTAAATGTAAGGAAAGTGACTGGGTTGTGTTGTGTTTATACCTTTATAGACTTTAGCAGTTAAACCTGTATTATACTTTTTACAGTTTTCTATGCTGAGAATTTTAGTAGATATAAGAGATAAGTTCATCTTCTTTTGAAGGGTTTTATTATAAATGTAACTCACAAAGTAACTACAGGTATAATTATAGCTTCTCCTTATTCTCAATATAATGTATGAAGATTATTATATTAAGATATACTTTTGATAAAAAGGAAACTGTTTTATTCGTGACAAAATGAAAGGACTTTAGAACTGGTCCATCATCTGAAATACTGAGCTAAATGGAAACATTTTTCCCATGTTAAAATGCCATTTGAAGAATAGCATTTTGAATCTTTCCTTCTTTATATTTCTAGGAAATTCAGGACGTCCCACACCGCGGTACACGAAAGTTGGGGAACGTTTACGACACGTCATTCCTGGACATGTGGCCTGTTCCATGACATGTGGTGGTAGAGCCTGCAAGTATGAAAACCCAGCCCGCTGGAGTGATCAGGAGCAAGCTATAAAGGGGGTGTACTCATCCTGGTAATTGACCCTGCTAGTCCTCCAGAGAAACCCTCTAATGCTGAGTAGGATCCAGGAGTGAAAATATCTGTAACGCTGGGAGGCAGAGAGATGTGGAAGAAAGTATAAGAGTCAGAGTATCTTGCCTTTAACCCTGGGTTTGCCACTTTAGAAGCTGTGTGACCCTGGGCTACTCACACAACCATTCTGAATCTTAATTGCTTTGTCTTTAAAATGGAAATAAAACATGTTTAAGGGAAATGGTCTTTGTACAGTGTCTTAAAGAAATGAGTACTTTAGATAACTTAAATTTCATAAATTGCTACAAATAATAAGGATGTTCTGCTATAAATTTAAGAATGTATGAGGTAGATAAGTATCTTTTAAATTTTTTCAGTAGGTAATTTTAGCCTCATTTTTATCTTGTAACTGTATTTAATATAAAAGGAAAACATTTTTACACAAATATACTTAGTCTATCCTAATAGAACTGGCAAAAATTATCAGTTTAGTGGACAATAAATGGTGGCTTACCCTGTTATTGTCTCTAGGTAGTATTAAAGTCAGTATTTTCAGTCATACTGCTTTTTATTTATTTGTTTATTTTGCTTTTTATTATTTAATAGGATTGACACAGTAGCGGCAACAAGTGGCTTAAACTTAGCAATAACTGTGAGGATGGCGCAAGTTCAGGCAGTGTTTCGTTCTGTTGCACAGGGGATTGCTGTGTTGTCACAACTGACTCAACAGCACCTAATAATAAACAAGCCAGGCACAAGCATGCCTCAGAGATATTGAAGTCATTTTATTGCAGACAATTACAGTAAAGCAAATAACCACGATAAAGCAAGTCACATGAATTCTTAGGTTTTCCAAAACAGATCAAAGTTATGTTCATGCTATTCTGTAGTCTATTAAGTGTGGAATACATTATTTAAAAGTTTGAAATATTTTAAGAATTATCAAAATGCAACAGAGACAAAAAGTGCGCACGTGTTGTTGGGGGAAAAGATGGTGTTGATAGTCTTGGCTTGTTGCAGGGTTACCACCAGCCTTCAATTTGTTTAAAAAAACTGTTTAGCACACTAAATTGAGGTTCAAATAAGTGAAGCATTACCTTTTTTAATGTGTTGACATCTCTGAAAAAATTCTGATAAATCATATCACATTTCAGATGCACTTGGAGGAATTCACTGTTTAAAGAATGAGTGAATCGGCTCAATGGCAGTGAGTTTGTTGTTTTGGTTTTAATTTGTGCATCATTTTATACAAGAATCCACCAAGGGATAAACAATTTGGAAGAGAAAACAACAGGACCAATGGTTCTTGGGGCACACAGGAGAGGGGGAAGTGGGAGAAAGGAAGGGTGGGTGGTCAACCAACCTAGGGACAAGGGAACAACAAGTGAACTAAAATCGATGGAGAGAAGGGTGTAGGATGCCTAATGGGGCTTAATCAAGGGCAATGTAATTGCGAGGAATTACTGAAATCCGAATGAAGCCCAAACATGATAGTGGGACAAGAGGTAAATAAAAGGAAATAGAGGAAAGAACTAGTAGACAAAGGACATTTATAGAGGTCTAAATATGGGCTTGTACATATGTAAATATATTTATATATAACAATAGGGAAATAGATCTGTGTACTTACACGGACATTGGGCCTTGACTCAACTACTCCCTCAATGCAAGAACACTTTGTTCTAATAATCTGGCATTCTGGGATGCTCACCTTCCCTGACATGATCGCTGAAGACAAATGGGTGCATAAGCAAATGTGGCAAACAAAGCTGATGGTGCCCGGCTATAAAAAGATATAGCATCTGGGGTCTTAAAAGCTTAAAGATAAACAAGCGGCCATCTGAGAAGCAGCAAAGTCCACATGGAAGAAGCACCCCAGCCTGTGTGATCATGAGGTGTTGATGGGATCAGGTATCAGGCATCTAAGACCCAGAACAAAAAATCATATCAATGTGAATGAGGGGGTGTGTGAAGTGGAGACTCACAGCCCATCTGTCAACAATTGGACATCCCCTTACAGAAGGGTCACAAGGAAGAGACGAGCCAGTTAGGGCGCAGTGTAGCACCAATGAAGCATACAACTTTCCTCTAGTTCTTTAATGCTTCCTCCACCACACTATCATGACCTCAATTAGACCTTACAAATCTGACTAGACCACAACATGTACACTGCTACAGATAAGACCCCAAAACACAGGGAATCCAAGGCAAATAAATCCCTCAGGACAAATAATTAGAATAGAGATACCAGGTGGGTAAGCAGAAGGTAGGGGGAGAAAGGGGAAATTGATCACAATGATTTATATATAGCATCACCACCACCACCACCCCAGGGGGATGAACAACAGAAAAGTGGGTGAAAGAAGATAGCAGATGTTATAAGATATGAAAATAACAATAATTTATCATTTATTGAGGATTCATTGGGGAGGGGGGGAAAGGAGCTGATATCAAGGGCTCAAGTAGAAAGAAAATGTTTTGAAAATGATGGCAATATATGTACAAATGTGCTTGACACAATGGATGGATGTATGGATTGTGATAAGACCTGTAAGACCCCCCAACAAAATGATTTAATAATAATTTTTTTAAATCCACCAAGGTAATTTTTTGACCAACTTGTCTAACTTGCAATCTGAACTTTGACGTGTTGAATTTACTGGGCACATCTATAGTGATTGCTAATTGTTGAGGCCCACCTTCATTGTTTTCAGATTGTATTCTAGCTAATCACTTACTTTTCTATAGAATGGAATAAAGAAGTAAACAGTATTCCCGAGGGACAGTCAGACAAGTAAATTTCTAATAATGCAGCTAAAGTCACATGGATATTTTTGGTTTGTTGTTGACTATGCCCTTTAATCTTTTTCCACCTCTGTTGCTTTTAAGTTATACTAAGTACTACTCAGATTTAGAATTTTTTTTTCAGATTTAGAATTCTCAGACAGTTACTCCTGTTAAATTGTAGCCACTCCGCTGCTTCCCCCAGGGGAAGAATATTTGTGTATCCTCTCTGTAGTGTAATGTCTCTATTATTCTTCACAGCTTCACATGCTCTAACTAACTTCTTATAAACATATCTTCCACCATGCCAGTAATGACAATTTTGAACAGAACATAGGAAAGCTAGACCCCTAATGAGCATGACAGCCATTTATTAAGCCTCTTTGTCCATTCATTTATTCAGTAGACATCCATTTGGCTACAAGCCATGCACTAAGTACTTTACATTATTACCTCTTACCTTCACAAAATTTCCGTGAAGTAGGTCCTACTAATGCTATTTTACTGATGAAGTAATTAAGGCCCATGGTAATTTTCTGCTCAGCTATAAAGTAGCAAAGTCTGCACTTTGAAGCCAGGCTCAACTAATTCCAAAGCATGTATATTTTGCTAAGTGTCTATAACAGCATATATTCATTACTGAATGTTAGGATTTGGTGTTAAAGAATTTGCATCCACATCATATTTAATTCTTACACAGACCCTATGAGGCAGACATCATTATCCTCATTTAGCACAGCTGGTAATGGGTTCAGGCAATTTTGTAAATAAAAATGCCTCCCGGTCAGCCCTCTTCATCTAGTCGCTGATCTTGGATAACTAATTCTAATCATTTGCCCCCAGCTGACGTTTCTCCATCATGCCTGCGATAACCGGTTGAGTCCTGGAAAACACATGGCTAGAATCCCCAACTACTTAATTCCCTTCCATTTTTTCAGATTTTCTAAGCCAGTGTTTGTTACAGCTGCAGTTATGGTGTTAAACTGCAGTGAGACTTGTATAAGAAGATTGTTGTCTTGCAGAGGCATTGAAAACAAAAAGGAGGGCTTGCTGCCTTGCCCTCGAGAGCTAGAGGTCTGGGATGTGTGAATCTCATCAGCCCTCCTCCCGCACTTGCAGGGTCACTGAAAACATACTCGCCATGGCTCGCCCATCTACCAAACTCATTGAAAAGTACCACATCATCGAGCAGTTCCAAAGGTAAATACTTTCCTGGTTCATGCATGGCGGTAAAGAAACTAACTCATGTGATTTTTCTGTCATTGCTTTTGACTTCAAATGAAGGTTTCAATCATAGACAATAAAGAGTTTATTTCACATAAAATTAATATTTTGAAAATAATGTTTTTAAAACCAGCTCCCAATAAGACTAATTTTTTTTCTTTTTTCTTTAAGCTGTGGCATAAAAACAGTCATTAACCTCCAGCGTCCTGGTGAGCATGCTAGCTGTGGGAGCCCTCTGGAACAAGAGAGTGGTTTCACTTATCTACCTGAAGCTTTCATGGAAGCTGGGAGTAAGTTCCTTCCCGCTGCTCCTCTTCCTGAATTACCAAGGACAGCATTTAGAGACTGCTGCTCTGCTCTAAATCTAAAACCTGCTGTCATCAAATCAATTCTGACTCATAGTGACAGTGTAGAATTGCTCCTTAGGATTTACAAGACTGTGAATCTCTACAGCACGACCCTTTCACACGAGTCGCTCGATTCTTAACAGTAGCAAAATTACAGTTATGAAGTAGCAACCAAAATAATTTTATGGTTGGGGGGTCGCCACAACATGAGGAACTGTCCTGAAGGGTCCCGGCATTAGGAAGGTTGAGAATGACTGCTCTGCAGGAATAGACATCCTCACTTTTCTCCCACAGAGTGACTAGTGGATTTGAATCGCTGACCTTGTAGTTAGCATCCCAAAGAGTAACCCACTACACCACCAGAGGCTCCTTTAAGTTAAAGATGTTGGCATCAAAGCTTATTGCACAGTAGTAGGGCTCATAGAAAATGACTGTAAATAATGCTATCTTTTTTCTTCGATAGTGTGTTGAAAGTACAGATTGCTTGTTTTCTGTGACAGAAGTGTGGGAAAGAGACCACCCACTTTGGGTTAACACAACCAACAGTGTCTATAGTATGCCAGATGTCATGATTACATTTAAAGCATTTGTGTTGTTATTTCTACTATACATCATATAAGGCTACAGAGGCTTGACGAGTTAAACTGACTTACCCAAAATGACACAGCTTAAAATTGGCAGTCAGGAGTGGAATTAAGGACTATATACTATTACTGTTGCAAAATTCTGCTATCTAGGGACACCCATTGTGATGCTTAATGTAACAGTTTTAGATCCTCTTTCATTTACAGGAGCTTTGTAAAGAAATCTATTTTTTAACTATGTGAAATATCTGACCTTCAGTCATTTATCTATGTCTCCATGCACAATTATTTTCTTCTATTTTTCCCCCTTCTGTAGATCATCCATTTTATTAATTTATAATTTTATGTATATGCTGCCATAATTCATTTTGGCTCGGTTTCAGAAAGAAATATCTTAAATAATATAGAATGTGCTGTGTAAGAATCATTAACAATGAACGTAGTTGAAATGTAAAAGGCCTATCTTTTTAGATTTGTTTGTACCCACTGAAATAACTTGCCTTATAGTTTTGTACCTTTTGTGAATTCACTACTTTTCTTCAAATATCTGTGCAAGTACTTTTTCTATATCTTGATTTTTTCTTTTATTTTTTTCAATCTCCAGTTTATTTCTACAACTTCGGATGGAAGGATTATGGTGTCGCATCTCTTACTACGATCTTGGATATGGTGAAGGTGATGGCGTTTGCCTTACAGGAAGGAAGGGTCACTATTCATTGTCATGCAGGGCTTGGTCGAACAGGTAAATTGTTGTAGTAGGTTTTTCTTACAGATATATTCAAATATATAAGGGATAATATATATTTTTTAATTGTACATGATAAGTATTTTTCAAAATTCTACCAACGCTTTGGAGTCAAAAGGAAGAAGTAAATCAATTATATTTGAAGTATCTTAAGTATTTAGTTACAGTGATTATAGAAGATATTCATTTAAGTTTTCTTGAATAACTTAGAGCTGAAAACGCATCATATGTAGTAACAGAAGAGCCTCTAAAGCAAAATAGAGGATAACTGATTTTCTAATTCTCTTTAAAGTAAAGTAAATTTCAAACACCTCATTTTAAAGTGTAATGTACTTTAAAACTATAATTTATCTCAACAGAAATATTAATGAAAATAGCAAGCATTATTTCACTTATTATTTTATATCTTCTGTCTTTAGAAATCTGTAAGAACGCTGTGAGTAAAACACTGACTTTGAGAGCAGTTAAGTAATTTGCTATGTGTAGTAATTAGCAGGGCCAATATTTAAATCCAGGTATAAGGATTTACTTGTGAAGAATAGTCTGTGTCTAGAGTTCTACATAAAAATCCCTTATTTAAAAAAACACTTATTTTACTTTAAAATTAAGGATAATCTCATTACCATGCTGATTGAAGCAAATATAAAGTTAGAGTTAAAATCTACCTTGTTGTCTCATACATCCAAATAACTGATGCTCAATTCCTATCTATAGAGTATCCACGTGCTTATGAATCCCTCTGATACAGATTTCATTCTGACCAAGGTAGTAACTATTAAGGTTGAACTGAAATCTGGATTTCTTGGAGATTACAGCTCAACCCAAACCATTGCCATCAAGTCAATTTCTGCTCATAGTGACACTATCTCTATAGGGTTTTTGAGTGACACTCTATAGGCTGTATTGAGTGCGGGCACCCTCATCTTTATCCTACTGAGCAATTGTTTCGTTGGAACCATTAACCTTGCTCATCTGACTGGTGGACATTCATTTCGCCTCCCTTTCACCTTATAGCACTCCAGATAAGTTATATTTATAATTTACACCCTATTGACTCAAACTCAACTAACAATACAGTGGACTGAGGAACATGTAATTTTCAGATGTAACAAGATACTCACAAACCTGATAAATTATGAACATACCAAAAGGATTTGCCTTTTAATTTTATATTAATTATTATGTTTTAGTCAAATTACTTTTTAATAATTTTTACTTGATATTAACAAACACATATTATTACATATAAAACTGGTTATTATGGTTGGCTTTCATAATATCATATAGCTAAATAGTCTGGAGAAAAATGCAAATTAGCATAGGTACAAGTCTGGAAGAAGAATGACCAGTAAAAATAAAAAGTCTTCCAATGCCAGGGAGAATTCTAGGCTAGTATGTGCCATCAATTGATGATGAAGATGGTAATAGGGCAGGGGAAGAGTTACAAACACATAGAGTGTATAGACTTGGTGAAAATTTTCAAGTACCGTTCAAACAGGAAAATAGAAGTAGAATTTACTCTCTTCCGTATTGAAACTGAGTTTAAAATATAGGTTCAGATAATCTCCTCCATCCAAGAGACGACTAATGCAGTCTAAAAGTTCTTTGTCACAAGAACAGGGTGCCCTATAGACAGAAAATAGATAAACTTTTAAGCAATGATAAACACCTAAATAAAAGATACAAAAATTATAATTATAAATTTTCCCATATTTATGACTTTATCATATTCAGTTATTAAATCATCAAAGAGTAATAAATAAAAGCATACTTTTTCTCACTTTAATCTTCTCTTCTTCACTTTTTAGGTGTTTTAATAGCATGTTACTTAGTATTTGCAACGAGAATGACTGCTGACCAAGCAATTATATTTGTTCGAGCAAAGCGACCCAATTCCATACAAACTAGAGGACAACTACTATGTGTAAGGGAGTTTGCACAGTTTTTGATTCCTCTTCGCAATATATTTTCTTGTTGTGATCCCAAAGCACATGCTGTCACCTTACCTCAATATCTAATTCGCCAGCGTCATCTCCTTCATGGTTATGAAGCACGGCTTCTAAAATACGTGCCAAAAATTGTTCACCTTGTCTGCAAATTACTGGTGGACTTAGCTGAAAACAGACCAGTAGAGAAGACAGAAGTGTTAGAAGTCCCAGACCTCTGTGCTGAAATTAAAAAAACAGTTTCTGAGGTGGTCACAGTGCAACTGGATAAAGAATTAATAAGGCGTAGCAGTGATGCCTCGGTCCCTTATACTCCCATGGCAGCAGTAACAGCTTTTGAAAATCAGGATGTCATTCTTTCTAATGAGCAAGAACCGGATCCTCTTTGGAAGAGGTGGAACATTGAATGTCTTCAACCACTGACTCCTTTTAAAAGGCGGCTCAGCTACAGTGACTCAGATTTAAAGCGGGCAGAATTACTTTGGGAACAGGGTGTGACTCCATGGACAGTGCCGACCCAAGTCTCGCTTTGCCATAACATAAAGCAGCAGAAAGCCACAAGCAATTGTTATGCTCCACAGTCTCCACACCTAAACGTAAATAAAGAAACTCTGATATGCAATACTTTTTCTTTCTGCAATCAGGCTAAGTTTGGAAGCTTGGAAGAACTCAAAGATGATGAATTAGCACTTTTCCAAAAAAGAAATGTTTCAAAGGAAGTACAGCGGAGTAGAACTTTTTCTTCAGGTGTCACAAATGTATATAACCCTGGAGAACCAGGTATACCCAATTTGTCAAATATTTATAAGGAGCCAAGCCATTCTCACCAGCAAGTGGACCACTGTGAAACTCATGGCAGTTGGGGCCAGAAGCCCATCCTGATGGATGGTGGAATTTATTGCCCCTCTCTGGACAATGGCTCTATTCCTAAAGTGAAATTCCCTGTTGGATATGAAAGCAAAGAGAGCAAAAATCAAGTTGAAGTAGCTTCTCAGATTGTTTTGCAATCTGAATTGAATGTTGAAAGAAGGAGAATACTGGCAGCTAAAGCCTTGGCAAATTTAAATGAGTTTTTAGAAAAGGAAGAAATGAAAAAGAAAGTAGAAACGTGGCAGGTATTTGTATTTCATTTAATTGTGTGTATGTGAGCAAAATTCATAAATTTCCTCAAATTAATTTTTTCAGAAATCTAAAGACATTTGTATAATATGATAGTTTCTTAGTTTTTATGGTAACATTATGAACATTTAGATGAGTGTAAAACTGGCCGTTTTAACCAGTTTGAAGGTCCATTCAGTGACATTAGGAGCATTCCTAGTGTTGGATAAATATCACCCCTTTTTGTTTCCAGGTCTTTGTCATCATCTCCCATGGAAACGCTGTACTCGTTTAACCCTAACTCCCCACGTCTCCTTCCCCGCCACCGCTAGTGCCTTCAACTCTAGTTCTACTTCTGTCTCTATGAATTTTCCTATTTCAGATACCTCATATAAGAGCCCTGGTAGACTGTAGTGGTCTACATGGTTGGCAGTTCAAAACCACCAGCAGCTCTTCGGGAGAAAGACTGGGCTTTCTACTCCCATAAAGAGTTACAGTCTTGGAAACCCACAAGAAGTCGCTGTCAGTCAGCATTGACTCAATGGCTGTGAGTTTTAGTTCTTATAAATAGAATCATAGAATATTTGTTTTGGCATTCGGTTTAGTTCAATTTGCATAATATCTTTAAAGTCCACCCATGTCCATGAACTTCATTCCTTTTTTATGTTTGCATACTATTCGTGCACGCACATGTGTGTGTGTGTGTGTGTGTGTGTGTGTCCCATTTTGTTTATTCATCTCTTGAAGGCCACGACGTGTTTCCATCTTTTGGCTCTTGTGAATAACCCTATAGTAAAGAGTAAATCCCAGCTCCAATCCTTGCGTGTATATACTTAGGAATAGAACTCTTCTTCATTCTGATCATTCTGTTTAGCTTTCCAAAAGGCCCCCAAAGTGTTTTCATACAGCTGAGCCATTTTAGATTCCTACTGTCCATGGACAACGGTTTCAATTTCTCCACATTTTCACCAGCATTCTGGGCTTCTGTTTTCTTTTTTTATGTGATAGACTTCCTCATAGGCATGAGGTAGTAGCTCTGTGGTTTTGATTTGTTTTTCATTAATGATTAATTAAGGAGCCCTGGTGGCATAGTGGGTTATGAGTTGGGCAGCTAACCTCAAGGTCAGTAGTTGGAAATCACCAGGTGAGACTTTCTACTCTCATGAAGAGTTACAGCCTTGGAAACGCACAGAGGCAGTTCTACCCTTTCTACCCTGTCCTATAGGATCTCTATGAGTCAGAATCAACTCAATGGCAGTGAGTTTGGTTTGGGTTTGGTTTGGTTGGTATAATAAACATCCAGATGCTAACTGAAAGCTTGGAAGTTCACACTTTGAGCACCTCTGTAGGATAAAAACCAGTTCCCTAAAGAATATAGTCCATCTTACAGTAGGAGTAAGTCTACTCTGTCACATGAGCTCACTATAAATCCATCAGACTTGGCTTGATGACACTCAGCAACAATGACAACTACTGACCGTGAACATCTTTTCATGGATTATTTGGCCATTTTTATACCTTCTTTTGGAGAAATGACTACTCAAGTAATTTTCCTGTTTTTCAATTGAATGATTTAGTAATCTTTTATTAAGTTGTGAGAGTTATTTATATAATATTCTGGATACTATTCCCTTATCATGTATATGACTTGAAAATATTTGATCACATTTTGTGAGATATCTTTTCATTTTCTTAAGAGTGTCTTTAAAAATTTTTTAATGGGAATTGAGTAATGGTTTACAGAGCAGATCAGTTTTCCATTCAACACTTGACATCTACTTTGTTTTGTTACTCATATCAATCCTTTCAATTTAACAGCACTTAACCCACTAATTCCGTTTCCTATTTCTATACTTCCTTCTTTCCTAACCTTTCTGAACTTTGTCTTGGGTAAATGCTGTACTTTTACCTCAAATGGTTGATTATTATTCTAAGGTGTTCTTACCTAATGTTATTGTTCCCTTTATAGACCTGTCTACTGTTTGGCTGAAAATTGAGCCATGGGGTGAATTCATTTCCAGACCTAAAGACTGACTAAAAGCCATAGTCTCGGAGCTCTCAGCAGTCTATATCCTATTAGTAAGCCTGGTCTTTTTAATTAATTTTTTTAATTTAATTTTTATTTTTTAAATCATTTTATTAGGGGCTCATACAACCCTTTTCACAATC